AGGGAAAATGTTTGCTGTTTTATAGATTTTCTGTCGGCATTTGACAAAATTTGCCGTGTAGGTCTTTCGGGAAACTTTCTTAAAATGATATTGATGGTAATCTCTTTTTTCAAATTATTTGTTATATGTACATGGATAACAAATTTTCTGTCTCTGTTAATAACGGGTTTTCTCCGTTCCTTGGCAGTTTCTGTGAGGTGAAATTTTTTCGCCATTTTATTATATATTTTTCTGAATGATTTAGTCGAGTATTAAGCCACAAGTAACCTAAGTATCAACATTGAGAAAATTGATGACAATATCATAACATTTTTAAACTCTTCGTATCATTTTATGAGGACGACACGATAATAATTAGTTATAAAAGAAGATGAATTTCGAAATGTATTTAATTATTTTAATTGTAAACAGTGAGAACTCAACATAAACATGACTCAAACAAAAAATATTGCTTTTGGAATTGTTTATTATTTGAACCACATTGAAACAAACAGCCTGACAACTTACGTTATTCATGTTTTCCATTTAATTACTGGTTACCACAGGCTTCCCGTTGAAACCATTACTTTTTAAAAAAAAATGTTTTTTTACAAGTATATGTTATATAAGGTACTACCTTCTTTATACATTTAATCATGTTGTATAAAACATTCTGTTTATAATGACGTTTGTTGATTTTTGCAATCATAATTTAGCATTCTAGTGGTTAGAAAACAGCTGTCCCCATGTTGTGAAACGATATGTGATGATGCTTGACTTTTATTGCGTCGCCTCTGAGGTGTAAAGGGATCACTTCTCTGTCGTCTGTCTGCCGTCACTGTCCATACGTCACAAAACTTGTACGGACTTCTCATTAACTACTGGTGCAATTTCATCAAAATTTTACATGAGTGATCGGTTCTAAGTCTAGTTGTGCATATCATCAGCATTTTCTAGTTTAATGATTTTTGTTAGCCCTTTATTTTTTTATATTTGTCCGGACTATCGTCTTATACTATTAATGCAATTTCAATGAAACTGTACAGAACTGATTTGTAGCTCAAGTCCTTGTGCAGATTGCAAGAGATTTTTGGTTGAATAATTTTTGTCCGAGTTATGGCCCTTGAATAAAAGGTATTTCTGTGTGTGTTGCCAGATACACAAAAACTTGTCCGGACTATTTCTCAAGAGCTACTGGTGAAATATAAATATCATCCAAACTTTACGGGAATGATCAGTACCAAGTCAAGTTGTGCAGATCATCGGCTTGTTATGGTTCAATTAATTTTGTCAGAGTTATGCATTTAATTTTTTTTAAAGTTTGCCCTGACTACAACTCTTATGCAATTTTAAATAAATTTTACGGGAGAAATTGGGTCGTCATGGGGTTGGGACTTTAAACGGGCTCTTGCTTGTTTACTTTTTGGCACAGTAAGGGCCCTTTGAATGAAAAGGGTTTAATAAATTTTGGGTCCGAAACTACACCTTTTTCCATTTAATTTGCTTTTTAATAAAATTTTTACGGATGATTGGTGGGTTAAATTTACATTTTGTATTTTGCCCTTGAAAAAAAATGTTTTTTGTTTACCGCTACCAGTATAATAATTTACAGGGGCCCGTCGTAAACCCGGATATCTGGGCTCGGGGAAAAATGTTTTTACCAATTCTCTTTTCCCAAATTTTTTTTAGGAAAAAAAAAAACCAAAACTTCTTTCTAAAAATTTGTTAAAAATAAAAATGGGGAAAATTTTTGCAAATTCTTTTTAAAGAACTTTCGAGCCCAAAATTTTTAAAAAATTAAAGGGAATTCAAACATAGTTTTTTAAATACTTTACACCTTTGAGGTTCGTGTTTCGTGTTTTTTCTTTCTTTCTTTCTTTCTTTCTTTCTTTTATTCTTTTTTTCTGTTTTTCCTTTTTTGGGATAGGGGCCGGCGTAACCGCTTTTTAAAAAATGAGCGTGTTATAAAATTTGATGACGGAAGGATAAGATTAAAATTTGGCAAAATGTCACAATTTTCCCGATAAAGGCTTCCCCAAACCCCATGCGAACGGTCGGTCTATTTATCTTAATATTTTTTGTTTTTCTTGGGAAAAAATTTGGGGCTCAATCTCGTCAGGGGTTTCTTTTTGTTTTTTACCCCGAGATTCTGATATTGTTTGGGCGTGGGGATTTTTATGTCCTCTGTAAACTCAAAAGACGTTGGAAAAATTGAATTGTTCACGAATTTTTTATTGTCCCTTTCCATTTATTTTTTGCAATTCTAGAAATACCCTTTAGACGTCAGCTTTTCAGTTACACCAGAAGCAAATTTTGAACAACGTTTTTATCGATTTCCCAAAGTTTTTATAAGGAAAATTTAAATTTTTTTTATTTTTTTTGAGGGATGTTTACAAAGGGGGCAGGATTTTCTCATTTTTAAAAATTTAGTTTTTTCGGTGGGACTGGGGAAGGGCTCCCAAAACTTTAATCAATTGTTTTTATTTTTTTTTTTAAAAACAATTTCTTAATTGGTGAACTAAGTTTTAGTTTGTTGGATAGCGAGGAAACTGTAGTATTTATGCTCATGATATTGACGTAATGACGTGATGACGAAATTACAAGTTCAAATGCCGACTGATGAAATCCTAAACACAATGATCTTTAATCAGAACGATTTAACTGTTTATGTAACATAACTGTATATGGTATTATTGTTATAGCTTACGGTTATATTTTCAGTCGTTTATCAAGAATATCTACCTTACCGTTACATTCATAATCGTGTTCTGCTGACATTACACTTTATCCAATTTCAAAAAAATAAAACATATTATTTTCTGACATAAATTTCCATGTTAAATGATGTTTTTGAACATGGATTACATTGGCAAATAGTTCCACAAACAATTAACTCCTATATATGTCACATTTTAGCATAAAATAAAAAAACGAGAGCCAAAAAATATACGTCTTTCACCATAACGGAAGTCAGGTGACAAAGAATATCGAATCACCTGAAAAATCTAAACTTGTAAAATAATATTTAATACAGTGCACAACTACTATTAGCTTTACATTATTGTATATGCAAATATTGACCATAACATTGATAATTTTGTCGCAAAGCAGATTATTTTCACAAAGAGACAGAAAGGTGGACACTACTCATTAACAAAACCGATGCTAAAAGAGTAAAATAAGATACCGTAAAAAAGATAATGAAATTATCTATTGGACCAATAATTTGCAGATAAAATAACATACTTTATCTCACAAATGTCCAAAATCAATATTCTACTTACAGTCAGTAAATCAAAGCACAGAAGGCGCTGAATTTGTTTGGGTCTCAGAATGTAAGAAAGTGCCACCAATGCTTTCCAGCGTTTTAATTGTAGTAAATTGGCTATAAGACTAAATGCAACACTGATATTTAATCCAATGTTTATTTGACTTAAACAATTTGAGGAAAAAAATGAGTTCCCTTTACTGACTTTACTGGGATTTGAACTCCAGACCTCTCGCTTCCTAAACGAGCGCGAAAACCCTTCAGCCACGGTGAATTTTTATGTGAACGGCTTGAAGAAAAATTAGGGCTTGTAACGACTTTAACTGTTGTTTAACACAGATGTAAATAATCCTGGAGCTTACTTTAAGCATGTATATTAATAAAGAATCAAAGGTCTGCAAGTTCTGTGGTATTTTCTGATCTTTGCAATCTAAATCGTACTGTATATCTGTATGTATTCTCCTGTATAAGTTTATTTTTATGTATTATAATTCATTTTGCAAGGCACCAGAGTTTGATAAATACGGAATTCTGCATAACTAGAGTTGCATCAAAAAATCATTTATGTTCATTTTTTTACGACAGCCACACTTTATCCTTGCATATCATGGCTACTTCCTTAACAAAGACACTTAAAAAGAATAAAAAAAAGTTTCCTCGACTGGGATTTGAACTCCAGACCTCTCACTCACTAAGCGAGCGCGTTACCCCTGCACCACGGAGAAGTTATACTAACAATGTCTGAATAACATCCAGTCATTTTAAATTTTGAACTTCCATTGCATTTCGGGTTTGTAATCCTTATTAATTTCGAGGTATTTTGTTCAGGATAAACCTGTTGTTTAAAATTGAAGTAAATAATTTAGCGAAAATCTTCTCGCCAAAACAGTCCGACATGTAGAATCTATATATTCCACTACTCGGTTTGTGTAGTATTCGGTAATCGACATCGTTAAAAATAGTATTTTCATTGATAAAATCATATTCATCCGCGTAATTTGTGATTGTGCATTTATTGACAATTCTTTAGGCCAACGCTATTTTTAAACTTTGAATTCGTTGTAATTTGTTGGAAACTTGTAACAAAATAAAAATATTTCTTTCTTTTAAATCGCTAGTTTTAAGCTGTTTTGAGAACTAATGGTTGTTAGGTTTGTCTTAATCTTCTGTGTCAGAGATTGAATGTCCGCTTTGTATTTACTTATTTTCGATCAGAAAATTCAATAAAACAATATAAGAAATCTTCGACCATTCGGAAATTATTTTGCTTGAAAATTAATGCGCCTGTCTTTGACCATCTTTACGCAGTGATCTCCTCTGAATTTTTCGGCGTTAGTGTACATATAAAGGGAAGTAACCGCTTCAAAAAAATGGACTACTTTCGGCATTTGCAATTAACAGCATTAGACTCTGAAATTTCGCTACCATTATTTGTTTGGTCTAACGACCCAAACAAATAAAAATGATATATGTTGTCAAAATTCTATCCGTCATATCTGTACTCAATCATACCAATATTTTACGAAAAGAAAGTTTTTAATGATAAGCAAGTTATGTTCCTGATTAATAGCAGAGTTTGCATGAAAGGCAAAAAGTAATCAAACATTTTACTGGAATTTGATCACAAAGCCATTACCTGAAGATGCCACACTTGTCAATCGTGTCTTGGTTTAATGATATGCTGAACAGATTTTTATGAAAATGCATTTTGCTTTAGAAATGAACAATTATGAATGTACTTTTATTTTTGCAGATCAACAGGAATAATGGAATTAATAAACGCACAGACACTTGGCTTCATAATTGCCTTTCTTGTCGCTTTAGTCGCATTGGTCATGGCATTGTCAAAACGATTCCCAATAGGTAAAGTGATTTCATTTTCTTACATACGAGGGCTGTGCAAAAAGTAAAAGGACTAAAGCTCTAATATCCACATTGTGAGTTTTACGTACACAATTTTACAAAAGTCAAATCTCGGAGCTTGTCCTATATAAAAAAGTGCAAGTATCAATAAATTTTCTTTGACAATTTAAAATGACAAGCGTTAAGCAACCGGTGCACTTTTAAGATAAAATAAAAGACGTTCATGATGTCGAAAAATAAATACAAAACGTAACAAACATCATTCTTTCTGAAACTATTCTCTCTTGTGCTATTGGTGTCTAAATCGTGTAACCATAACCATGCCTCATTTGTAGAGATGAGAAAAATCAAGAAATCAATCATATTCTGTTCAAGGTTCCTTATACAATTGACCGGTGGCCGGCCAGCCAACATTTCTCCTGATTTTAGCTCACCTGTCACAGTGACAGGGTGAGCTTTTGTGATCGCTTTTAGTCCGGCGTCCCTCCGTCGTCTGTCAGGAAGAAAAACTTTAAATATCTTCTTTTTAAAAACCCAAAAACTAGAGCTTAGATATTTGGCATGAAACATCTTCTAGTGATTGTCTACCAAGTTTGTTCAAATAAAAGCTCCGGTGTCAAAGTTGGCCCCGCCCCAGGGGTTCATTGATTTTCCCTAAATGCATATGGTAAAAACTTAAAAACTCTTCTTTTAAAGAACCCAGAGAGCTAGAGCTAAGATATTTAGCATGAAACATCTTCTAACGAGTGTCTACTATGTTTGTTCAAATAAAAGCCCTGGGGTCAAAATTGGCCCCGCCCCAGGGGTGTCATTGATTTTCCCTATATGCATATAGTAAAAACTTAAAAAATCTTCCTTTTAAAGAACTCAAAGAGCTAGAGCTAAGATGTTTAGCATGAAACATGTTCTAATGGGTGCCTACCAAGTTTGTTCAAATAAAAGCCCTGGGGTCAAAATTGGCCCGTCCCGGGGGTCATTGATTTTCCTTATATGTGTAAAGCAAAAACTTAAAAATCGTCTTTGTAAAAACCCAAATAGCTAGAGTTTAGATATTAAGCATGAAACATCTTCTAGTGAGTGTCTACAAAGTTTGTTCAAATCAAAGCCCTGGGGTCAAAATTGGCCCCGCCCCGGGGGTCATTGATTTTCCTTATATGTGTATAGCAAAAACTGAAAAATTTTCTTTGAAAAAACCCAAATAGCTAGAGTTTAGATATTAAGCATGAAACATCTTCTGGTAAGTGTCTACAAAGTTTGTTGAAATAAAAGCCCTGGGTTCAAAACTGACCCCGTCCCAGGGGTGTCATTGTTTTTGACTATATGTGTATATAGTAAAAACTTAAAAAATCTTCTTTTAAAAAACCGAATGAGCTAGAGCTTAGATGTTTAGCATGAAACATCTTCTTATGGGTGTCTACCAAGTTTGTTCAAATAAAAGCCCTTGGGTAAAAATTGGCCCTGCCGGGGGGTGCTAGGTGGTACTATAGGTCATTGTTTTTCATTATATGTGTGTAGTAAAAACTTAACATCATGAATCATCTTCTAATGGGTGTCTTCCAAGTGTGTTCAAATAAAAGCCCTGGGGTTTAAACTGGCCCCGTTTCAATTTAAACATTACGATATTGTACAGTAAAATAAAATTATCACTCTTCAAATAATCACTATCATTTATTAAACAAATTCGGGATAAATACTTCTAAATAAATAATTACTGTGCATCATTATTAAATCATTTTATTGATAACATGTGTATCTAGTTAAAATGGTCTCAAATACAATCCTTCCCATCAAATTTTCAGCTTTCTTCCTCGCCATTCTTCGCTATTTCATGTCTATTATCTCGTATTCGCCGTCTTTGAAACCGAGTGTCCGATGGCCTATTTATTGACCTGTTTTTATGTAATCTTTTCGTACGTAGCTGAAGAAGTATTGCTTATCTGATGGAAAAATTAAACTATCACAACATGTCAGTACAACTTAGGTTCAAAAATCTTTTTGATGCGCTGCGCCGGGTGCGTGTAACCATTGTTATTCATTATCACAAATAACACTCGTTTAGCACAATAATTTGATAAATTTATGCTCAAATGGTAGAAAACAATTTACGATTGCCATACATTTGAATTTACTCTAAATTAATCGGAATATGAAGACACAAAACACAAAGTTCTATTAATTTGTGTACAATCTTCGTATATGCGTATAAGTATGATAATACGGGGCATCCGTGGCCGAGTGGTTCAGTTATTTGACATGAAAACACTTTCTATTCACCGTTGTGGATTTGAATACCACTAAGCACTTTTCATGAAAGGAAGCTATCCTACTAGCGTACGTAATCTCGGAATTTCTACTCAGGTGCCTGGAATAATGCACGGTGGGATATTTAAGGTCTCCCTCCACAAGTAAATCTTGAAAGTCGCTTCATGAGCTCTATTGTTTTGGTGGAACTAAAAACCAAACAATCAAGCTCAATCCGGCGTAATATACGTTCGATTGTACATTTGTTTGAGTAATTAAAAAAGATCTTTAACTTATGAAACAGACTGAATTAAGAATTTTTTATCTGAATTATCGTATGATACTGAATGGCCTCATAGTTGTGGGGACATTTGTCACCTTTGTGCCAATATTGACACCAGGGTTATGATAAATATCAGGTTTTGCTATCGGGCGTATAAAATATGTTTTTGTTTGTTTGTTTGTTTTGGGTTTTACGTCACATCGACACAGTATAGGTCATATCGCGACGTTCTAGCTTTACTGATGGAGGAAGACCTCAGGTGCCCCTCCGTGCATTATTTCAGGCACGAACGGGTACCTGAGTAGAACCACCGACGTTCTGTAAGCTAGCTGGATAGCTTCCTTACATTAAATAATCCAAAGTCCCTGTCGGGATTCGAACCCACAGCGGTGAGGGGCAAGTGGTTTGAAGTCAACGACCTTAACCACTCGGCCACGGACGCCCCATATGTTTTTGTTATCATGTTAGACATAATAGATTTTGCAATGTTTCGTTATTAACATATCATATGATTGAGAATGCAATTTTTTTTGAAGGATATGTATAATTTATTAAATGAAATTTCAGTCGCTGTAGCACTTGCTTTTGTCAGAATTTCATAATACTTGACTGTGATATTATCTAAAATAATATTGATTTAATAAAAATAAATTGAGAATTGATAATTATTGATTATGATCAATAAATAATATTAAAGTAAGCAATAAACGTAATCAAGATTTTGATAACTTAAATAGTATTCTAGCAAGGTAAATTTTATGATTAAATGTATTCAGGATTGTGATAAATGATATTCTAGTAAGAATCATGAAAAATGTATTCATATTAGTGATCACTTAAAATAATATACATGTAGTAAGATATTATTTAAATGTATTCATGATGGTGATCAGATAGATAATATTCAAGTAAGATATAGAGAACACTGAATGAGAGGAGATTTTATATAAATTTATTGAATAAGATGAATAAAATGCTATTATGGGGCCTCTGATTCTAAATTATTCTATTGATCACAGGAGCCTCTTTTCAGTGTCTCGCCTATAGTGTAACGCTTACATTAGCGAGTATTAAGTTTAAGAAATAACAATATCGCTAAAAATTACTTATAGTGGGGCGGGAAATTGAGAAAATAGTGCAAATTGTGATACAAGCATGAAACTTTCAGGAAATCATCTTTAGACCATGTAGATTTCAAAAGTGAAGTGGGCCCAAAAATATCTCTGCTCATTCAAGATGGCCGCCATTTTCAAAATGGCCGCCATATACATTTGACGTACATACCAACTCATTCATTCCAATTTTTGGTAGAGACCTTTAACTAATTTCAAAAGCATGCATATAGTTTGTCCTTTTCAAAAATTTAAATCTTACAAAATTTCTCTTTCATGCCTCTTCCAAATCCAAGATGGCGTCCAATATGGCCGTCGATTTTGTGCAAAACTGTTATATCATTTTTATAGTATAATTTGTTGCACAAATTATGTTTATTATGATAAAAAGTGTTTAAACATATCAGAGATAATCAAATCATATGTTAATCTCAATAAAAGTAAACATTTTAAAAGTTTTTGTCTTAGAAATATCTTTTAGAAAGATCAAAGAAAAAAAATCCATTTTTTTTCATATTTTTCAAATTTGATTTCCTTAATTAATGTACAAAGTTAAAAAAGTTTACTTAATATCTTAAACTGTATTTGACATTCCATTAATATCATGTGTTTATTGTAAAAAATGTAAGAAAAACATTAAATCTGTAGGATTTATATCTTGTGAAAGTGGGTGGGGTAATATTATACGGTAATTATTGTAAAAGAAAAAACAACAGAAAATAAACATAGCTAAGTTCATTCTATTTCTTTGCCTTTTTGCTTTTCTATGAATTCTTATGCAAATGTTCCAACTTAAAAAGTAGTTTTTATGCGATGAAAGTATTTTTGTCTTCCTTCGGGCTAAGTGGCTAAGCAAGAAATGCACATACAAACATGTGTATACATTCAGTAATTAAATTTGGTTGCATGATAATTTTTGTTTCAATATATTTGATATCATATATTAATTGTTAATTGTAAAGACATATAAGAAGACAATAAATCAACTAAACGTGCTTAAAATAGCAGGCAAGTACATGAATATAAGGTATAAAGGTAGTCCATAAACGCATATTTTTGACTCCTTCACAATTTTATATTTATAATATTAACCTGGCTTAAAAGCCAACAAAATGTATATGATGTGAAACAAATATATCAATGATATGGCCTGGCCTGCATGCAGTTTTTTGAAAAGTTAAGATACAAAGTAAGTGTATTTCCTAAAGTAATGATATCTCATTTTTTTCTTTCAATAAGAGGGCAATGATGACCCTGGATCACTCACCTAAGATCATTGTTGGAAAAAAGGTAACAAGATCATTTTGGGAGTGTCAATTATGTCATAACACACATGATTTGTGTCATAATTGAATCCGGTTGCG